CTGCGAACGGAGAGCTGTGCGTTTTGAGGCCACCGTCAGTGGGGAGCGTCTGCTGACGCAGTCAGGTTTGCAGCTGGCTGAGACAGCGTGAAGGTGCTCTGCTGGAGGACACCCACTGAGCTGCGCAGCCACAAGCTGGGCATTCTGTCCTGCTCATGTTTCTTCTGTAAAGTCAAGTGGACATAGGAAGGATTTTTCAGTTGCTTCAAATTTTGTTTTTTGCATTGTCATTGCTGCATCCAAAATTTTATCTTTTCTTGCCAAAGGTATGCACAGCTTTCAGTATTTGAAAGCTGGAAGCGTCTGGACTTTGATTAGCATCTTATTGCTTTCACTGTTTTTATTTTTACCTATAACTATGTGAAGCTTCTGCTTAAACACAATAAACATGTTAAACATTGACACAGGGCGAAATGTGTTCGTTCACATTTACAAATGAGGAGGAGTCTCAGTTCACGCTGAAATTTGAAAACTCTTGATGGAATCCAGGTGATGGGGTTCAGTAGGGGTTCTTGGGTTCCTCTGACAAAGAATTCAGATGCTCCCTTTGATCAGCAAGTTTATGAAGGAAAAGAGAAGAGAGAGACGTCTAAAGAGACAGGGACACCTTCTGGCAGAACAGAACCTGCATTTTGCCAGGCGGCAGGGCGTTCTTCTATAAGGTTCTCTGATGAAATCATTGTGCAAACCACTGCTTTGGGATCGGATCGGGTTGGTCTGAGGTTGATAGGTTCCCTGACCACCCGCCCCGGTGATATTCCTTTCTGACTCCACCTTCGATGGCTGGAACCTCGTCGCGTTAATGAAGGTTTAAAACGGTCCCTCCCCCACCTCCGCTGTCCTTGAGACCCCTTGCTGTCCAAGCGCTGCGGCTCTAAGAGTCCATCGCCCTCCGTGGAAATGCGACCACCTACCGGCAGCTCTGCCCAGCCTGCCTCAGCACGGGACGCTGGGTTTTCGCTCTTCTTAGTCTGTCAGCACAACAGAGTTTTCAAGGCTTTCGACAAAAAACAGTCCTGCAGTTGTTTTCCATCCGCCGAGGAGCAGGGGGCAGCTGCCCCACGTTGTGCCACTGTTTCACTGGCCGTGGCTGACTGGTTCTGACACAGAAGGGCGCTGTGCCCAGTGCAGACAATCCGAACAGCAGAATAAATGGAGCGAGCGAGTGTGAACTGTGACTCATCATCCAAAGGTAAATGCTTTCAGTGTCTCCCTGGTGGCACCGGGGTTAAGTCTCAGCCTGTCAAGCTATAGCAGACACTGTGGCCTGAGTTCTGAGTCAGCGACCAGGTGCTGACCCCCAGGCCGTGGCCGGCCCCTCCTGCCTCCCGGCTGCCCCCTCAGCGGTGTACTTTGTAGATCGGCCTGTTGTGCTCCCCGCTCTGTCTCGGGTGAATCTTCTCACCGACCCCCACCCCAGACCTCTGGTCTAGACCCCACTTCTTGTATGCATAAATCTTTCTTAAAAAGATAATTATGAGTTAGGTTACTTTCATCCTCATAATTTCTAGTATTTTGAATTGTGAAATGTAACACCGCTGTGTAAGGGCAGATTTTAGAGTCACCAAATGAACTCCCACTAACTGGGTGAGGAAGCAGGGGACCGCACTGCGTCATAATCATTCTCCCTGAATGACACATGTGTGACATCATTGTATTTATTTCCCTTCATGAAAATTCATCACCTATGTATCCTTAACAACTGATTTTAATACTGTCTGGTATTTAAAATTTAAGTAATCATATTATGTTCACTTCGTATTTTGACGCTTTCACTCAATAATCTGTAGGCAAGAGGACCCACATATTGGATCTAGCTCGACCCTCAGCAGCAGTATTTGCACTGTTGTGCAGTCTGCCGTTAG